TAATCTTCTCTTATCCATTTATTTATTTATTTATTTTGATGAATTTTCAATTTTTTTATATTTTTATTACGTTTACTTATTTCATTCTTCAATAATTAGGTGATGATCAACATCTCACAACTGTCCAAGCTGATGGACTTGTAGTAGCTACTCCTACAGGTTCAACTGCTTATTCTGTATCAGCTGGCGGTTCTCTAGTTCATCCTGCAATATCTGCTCTATTAATTACTCCTATTTGTCCTCACACTCTATCTTTTCGTCCAATGCTTTTACCGGATTCAATGGAGTTAAGAATATGCGTTCCTTATAATAGTCGTAGTACTGCGTGGGCAAGCTTTGATGGTCGAGGGAGAGTCGAATTAAAACGTAATTTCTTTTTCCTATTAACCTTCTTACAATTTTGCTTAATTTAATATTTTATAATCTAAATATTTCTTTTTCCTTCAGAGGGTGATCACATAAAAGTTACTCCATCAAAATTCCCTTTCCCTACTGTATGTTTAGAATCTCAATCTAAAGATTGGTTTAATTCAATATCAAGATGTTTAAGATGGAATGAGCGTGAGAAACAAAAAAGTTTTGTAGTGGTGGAAGAAGAAGCAATTGAAGAAAGTGATTTAGAATATGATGATGATGATGGTTCAACAAAAGTGGATGAAACTAGTGAACATGAATTTTTGGTATAGTATATAGATAATTTTTTATACTGTATAATAGTTAAAAAAATATATATATATATATATGACTTGATTTAGCTTCCAAGCAAATCGTTTACAATCATTAAGTTATTCGCAATAAAAATTATATATATTTTAAAAGTTTTAATTCCTTGTAATAAAAAAACTTTTGCGAATCACTCGTGAAAATTCGTTTTCACTCGCAAAAGTTATATAAAAACTTTTTTCCGGATTCATAAAACTTTAAAAGTATATAGAATTTTACTATTGTCAACATCTTAATTTAATAGGCAATTTTTATCTAACATTTCGTCATTCATTTTATCATTCATTTCTATTTAAAGGAAATACAAGAGCGACCATCACATATACGGACTTTAAGCAGAGAACATTCATTTGCTTGTATCGGAAAAGACCTAAGCGATTCTAGTAGCAATAATAGTAATAGTGGTGAGGAAGAAGAATGGAAAGTTGTTACTAGAAAACAGAAGAAGAAAAAATAAATCTTTTATCATTGTGGATATTTGTAAACATTGGTGGCATTCTTTTATAGAACCTACTTTTTTTTTTTGTAGTATTAGTTTCGGCATAAAATCTTTTCAAATCGAAAATCATTATTTCTGACACTTAGGTAAATATTGACTAGAAGGGTACATTTTGGTACATAGCGCGGATTATAGTATATCATTTCTATATATCGAGTACTAATATTGACTTTAAACGCGGAATGTATCATATAGTCCGTGCTATGTGTATTGTTATTTATGAAACTATTAAAATAAAACTTTGTATATAAATTCCTTTCCAAAAATTATTAAGATCGATAAAGCTATACATATAAGTATCGTAAGAAGCCACATATGAAACTTATAATGCTTAGATTTACTCTGGGAAAGTTAACGTTAAGATTTGATTACGTTTTAAGTGGTATTAGTTTAGAGAAATTACTTGATCCGTACGGATCAGCAATTATGCAGATTACGAGCATAAATTGGTTTAACCTGAACTAGTTAATTATGGAGTTACTTTTTATAACACATTATGATGTCAATAATTTTCGACATAAAATTTATCATTGTCAAAGAGTACGTAGCAAGAACTTGCATTTGGCTAATTTCTTTCTACACTTCCTATTGGTTAGAATTATTTGCGATTATTATGTCACCGCTTTTTTATATTTCGACTAGAGTTAGCATTAGGTTTAGTGGGAAAAATTATATCAAAATTTTGCAAAGAAATTTGCCGATTGGCTAGAATCGGAAACTGTGGGAAAAAGCGGATTTTTTATGTTTAGATAAAGTAAATATATACTTATGCAATATTAGATAATATGATACGTATATAGTGTTTTAAAAATTTTTTTTTCTAAATTAGGCCATACAAAGTTAATTTTTTGGTTCTCATACGTAACATAAAATTTGAAAAATGACCCGGCAACCCGGCTTTTAATTTTTATTTTCAAAAAAATCTTATATATATAAAAATTTTTATAGACTTCTAAAAAAACTCCACCCGGATAGTAAATATAGTCAAAAAATTTTTTTAAGAATTTTTGCGAAATTTGACCCGGCCGGGTTATGAGAACCAATTTATTAAGCTTGTATGGCTTTATATAATCTGGCTAAAAAAAAAAAAAAAAAAAAATTAGGTTTAATGATTTTTTATTATATTGTAAAACGATTGTCCGAGTAGATAGGTTTTAAGAGGTCAATATAAGTATTTTG